TTGTAATGGCCTAGACAGTTGAAGTGGCCTAGACAGTTGAAATGGCCTAGACAATTGAAATGACCTAGACAGTTATAATGGCCTAGACAATTGAAATGGCGTAGACAACTGAAATGGTGTAGACAGTTGAAATGGCCTAGACAGTTGAAGTGGCCCAGACAGTTGAATTAGCCTAGACAGTTGAAATGGCCTTGACAGTTGAAATGGCCTAGACAGCTGAAATGGCCTAGACAGCAGGTTGGTAGAGTTGAAGGTTGAAACGCAAATTCACTTTGAGTTTTTACCTTCCAATGCACATTTAATTTGATGGTAACTTCACGCATAACAGAAGTGTTGCCAGTTCTTGGCGATGGCTTTGCTCAGTTGTTGCAATATTTACATTTGAAGAACATCGGGAAAGTAGGCGTTGGTGAACATACCGTTTAGGCAGTTTAGAACCAAAACAAGAATGTTTAATGTTACAGTTTGCACTTCAAAATGACATTCTTTAGGGACGAACGCGAAGAATGAATAATAAAAAAGAAGAAGCGTCAAATTATCATAAGTGGAAACTCATAAATACTCGTATTTTTAGTGAAACTCTCGTCAACATTCACGTCAGAAAATTTTGTGTGATGTTCGCCTGTTGTATGATGATTAAGTGACTTGATAATCTCGTGGCGCTGACTTCATTTCTGGAAACTGTGCATAATTTCACAGCACTAAAGCGCAGTGTGGAAGCGTTCTCCCATGCATGTGACGGTCTTGAATTTGTTTATTTGTGCCCAGTTACGTAAGGCGACGTCTGCTGAACGAGAATTGCGGTATATAGTGTGGGCGCTGCTGGCGCTACAGTGCAAATTTTGCAGTAGATGTCGGGACGATGATCGGCGTATTACGGAAAGCTGGGAAAGCGATGTATCAACTTACGGTATGAGTATGAAAACAAACGTTCAAATAAGGATGATCGTTGAAATAACTCATTCAAGAGAGACACAAAGAAGCTTACGATAATATGGCCCTCAGTAATCCTAAAGGAAAAATAATTTTGTTCGTGGCGACGGTAAAATAAATTTTATTACCACTTACTCGACACAGCAGAATGTAAGAAAAAAATGCTAAGTTTTTCGCTGAATTTGTTATGGGATCTTAAATAATCGCAAAAGGATCCATATCTTGTACCATTTCCACTTAAATGAAGCCACAGCATAAAAATACGGGGCAAATTTTTTGAAGGTGAAGAAAAAAATTCATTCCCGAGGTCGAGGGATGATGACTTGGACCATCCATAGAGCAACCTCATACAAGGTATAGCGGCCTGCCGGGGGCCATACTTTCAAAATTCGCTAAGTGAACGTAAGTACTTACGCTCTATTTTCTTGTCTGTGGGGCGGTGGATTTGTCTTGAAAGGCCGTCAATGATTGTCTGATGAACTTACGATCTCTTAACTTTTTTGAAAGTATAGGCCTGGAATATAAGCTACCGCGAAGCTCTGAGAATATATGGTTACTTCGGAAACGTTTATCTTTTTACTGATATTCCAAGGCCTAGGTAGAACTTTGGTAAAAGAGAGCCTGTTAGCTTTATGAGTTCAGCGGGTTTGTTAGTTTATTGCAGCCCTTACTTCGGAATATCTTTCATAGGGGAATTTGGAATAGCCTATGGAATCCTTAGAGCCAAACCGGGGTCAACTTGGGCCGAGTTATTGAGGCCATTTGTTGGGGATATTATGAACACCATAGTAAATCGTGGCTCACTATTATAAATTAAAGACATTGGAGAGGAATGATCCCAATGCCGATAAATTTGAAGGATTCATTCACAGACTTTGCCTGATTTCATGACTATTGAGAGAGTTTGAACGATCTTGATACTTTAATGGTAGACTTTGAAGCTTTTCATGCTAATAATTAGATTAACATAATTAATGCTACGGGCAGTTCTACCTTAAATTAAAAATAGTTTTGCAAGACATTAATACAAGAAAATGCATTTGAACGTATATTATCACTTTAAAAATAACCTAAATAAATAAACCGCCAAGTTTCTACTCGATGTTCATTTTTTATGTGATCCAGAAAACGAAGCGTTGAGAGAATCCGGCACTGGGCAAATAGTACCAGTTCTCACAATTGGTGTAATTCGGCAGAAGTTTTTCTTTTATGAAAGTTTGGTTAAAGACCAGAACATGTTTTTTATTAATAATCTTCTTGTTCGTTTTTTCAAGGAGTCGACCAAAATATCTTGCTGGCGCCGGGAGATCAAAAAGAAGTTTTCCAAGTAACATTTTAATGGATTGCTACGTTTCGAAAATACAATTTTAGAGGAAATTTTATTTTTAGGAAATCAGTAATTTTAAGCTTATATTTTAAGTTGTATCCACTATTCACTGAACTATTTTACGCGTGGTGACAGATGCAGATTACGAGTAAATAGTAATAGTTAAGGGAAACATAAGAAATAATTTTCTTCGATATTATTGGGAAGACTCTAGACTAGCTGTACTTCAATGTTATTTCTGGCATCTTCGTTAATATTAAATTCTTATACCTCCTCCTGCCTTATACCTTATACCTCTTCCTGCAGCCTTGCATCCCTAAACACCACCCAGGAGCCTTTATTCCGAAGACTCAAGTGTAGGAATAAATTATCTTTTGCATGAGGTTAATCCATCCTACCAACAAACCCTCGCAAAATGTCATTTGGAAACTGGCTTTTTGATCTCCCGGCGCCAGCAAGAAATTTTGTTCGACTCCTTGAAAAATCTAACAAGAAGTTCTCACAATTATGCATAAAAGGCGGAAAATAACTGAGGTTTACCTCAACTACAGGGATCGCGCGAGGGCTGAGGGATCGCAGCAACAAAGCTGGTGCGTTCCTGCCGCTCTCCCTGCTGCGTGTCAGCTCTCCCTGCTGCGTGTCAGCTCTCCCTGCTGCGTGTCAGCTCTCCCTGCTGCATGTCAGCTCTCCCTGCTGCATGTCAGCTCTCCCTGCTGCATGTCAGCTCTCCCTGCTGCGTGTCAGCTCTCCCTGCTGCGTGTCAGCTGTCCCTGCTGCGTGTCAGCTCTCCCTGCTGCATGTCAGCTCTCCCTGCTGCGTGTCAGCTCTCCCTGTTGCGTGTCAGCTCTCCCTGCTACGTGTCAGCTCTCTCTGCTGCGTGTCAGCTCTCCTGCTGCGTGTCAGCTCTCCCTGCTGCGTGTCAGCTCTCCCTGCTGCGTTTCAGCTCTCCCTGCTGCGTGTCAGCTCTCCCTGCTGCGTGGGAGCTGTTCTTTCCTGCAAAGCAAACTGGCAAACCCACAACTGACGAACAACTGGTTACGAAGTGGCATCAACAGTTGTGACGTGCGGAATAAGGAATTATCAATGAATCCAAGAACTACGACAGTTTCTACAGGGAATAAATATGAGTATCTACGAAGAAGAAATCGTGATCGACCTACGAACTATGAATACTGAATTATAATTATATTATTACTATGAGGTAGCATGTCAGTTGAGTAACGAGTTTAATTAGGAACAAACCCAAGTTTATATTTATTAGGAGTAGAATAATGAAACTTTGGCCTACAATAATTCACCGATTAGTACTTTAGAGAACGCAGTTCGCACATGCATTTTCTCCGTGATTGCGACTGCCTTTGTTGACGTTTATATATGTCTCTTTTCATGTCCAAAAAGACTTCTTGAACTGATCAGACGCTCATACGAGTTCCTAGACGCAGAAGCGATGTAACAGTTGTTTGTTGCCATCGTGCGCACGAACCTAGAGTTTGGAATCGCCGTGTCGGCAACGACACTTGAAAAGGACAAAAATTTAATATAGAGTTTTCGAAGACGTGCAACAAGGATAATTCCAGGCTTGAAGGGCAAGTCCTATGAAGAATGTTTGAAGATTATGAAGATTAAAAGCCTCTGTTATCGACGTCTGCGTGGGACCTCATTGAAGTATACAAGTATATTCATGGTTTGGGCAAGGTCCCAGAAAAATTACTAGAATTTGAAACAAGAATTAACACCAGGGGCCACGTCTATAAACTAAATAATATAGGTTCAAAAATTACTTTTTAGAGACAACACTTCTAACGAATTCAGTGTCTCCAATGTTACACATGTACAATGAATTTCTAATTTTATTTTCGAATATTAAAAAAATCAATTTTTTAATATATAAACAAATTTCAAAATTATTTATTCAATTGATTCATGCATTGTCTCCGACTTTACGCAAGACTTCAAAATTTCAGATCCATTGGACAGGTAGAAGTGTGTTAAATATCGATTATAAGATTTGTAGCAGACGAAATTATTTTTCACATTTTTTAATATTGAACATTTTATTTCTTTATTTATTTTGTCAATTGATTCATGCATTGTCTCCAACTTTACGCAAGTTTGCAAACAAGAAGTGCAGTTAAATAGAACTGTTGTAAAAAAACAGCGTTGTAACACATCCACGCGACAACATTTCTTCTCGCTTCGAGTCACCGACATGTGTAACAGCCTCCCTGATAGCATCGTTGACGCTCCAAGTATGAACGCGTTTTAAGAAGAGACTAGATAAAGCTATGGAAAAATATATGTTCAGATTTGAAATGCCTAGCACGATATCGACCCCGGTGTAAGTCTATTAGCTATTTCAAACTATCATCAGTTTGGAAAAGATCCGGTAGAAGGATTTGTTTTTAGATCTCTATGGACTCCAACTTTGCTGTTTAGATCGCGAATGAGGGTGATATAAAAAAAACTCTCGAACGAAGGCAAAATCTAAAAAATTTTCACTAGCTAAACATCACCGTTGGATAGTTATGAACGTATATTCAAAATTTCGATCAACTCTGTTCAGTAATTTGGAAGAAATTTCTTTTTCACTGCAAATTTCGGAATGGGTCACACTTGGCGTCTTCAGTTTTTAAGTATTATCCGGAGATTTTCCTTGTTCACTGAATTTAGGGACCGGCCGCAAGTCCGGTCGTAAATTTGTCCGAGAAATCTTCTTTCAGATGTACGTAGTGAGTTGAAGTGTGGAAAGATCATGCACACTAGGTGTGCAGGTATCGTAATATATTGCAAACAATTTTTCATATGTACGTAATCAGTTAAAATGCGTGAGTATCATGCATAAAACGCAGCAATATATTGCATACAAGCTCTTACAATTACATGCCAATGTTAAACTAAAAAATAATATTTAGGAAATTTCCTGAAAAAAACAGCACAATCTGTCTGATTATTTTCACAAGCTTCAAATAGATGGCAGTTAGGTACGTTATTCCGAAGCTGAACATTTGACATAGGCTCGTAATCCGTTAGCAGATGAAGAAACTTTACCGTTTCAGCTTCCGGTGGCGGCATGAAATCTGATCATAGAAACAGTGTTTGTGAGCTTGATAGGTCTTATGTTTTTCACCTTCTCATTAATTAGTAGTCGTTGATCAAAATAAATGACATCAGTTTAGCTTGCAAGGCGTTGAAAATACCAAGTATTGATCGTTAATTTTACCAGAAGGCGCTGAAATTCCAAGAATCCAAGACTCTGGCCAAACTATGAGACCTGGGCTGCGGCGCTGCGCCAGCAACTTACCAGATACTACTTTGTTCTAAATTTCATAATGTTTGTGTCTATGTGTTTTACAGAAATATTAAATATACGTCAATCTTCTTTAACCTCAACCTTGAAATTTAAAACCAATTAATTATTTTTTATTGAAATAAAATACGCTGAAAGACTGAAATGGAATGGGTCTGGGAATTTAACCGGGATCAGGAGCTAGAAAGACAAAGAGTCTTAGTAAGAGGTAAGTTTCCTCAATATTTTAAATATGGCTGAATAGGGCCCAAGAAGGAACATTCTCAGACTATTCCTTTTTGGGTCCTGTTAGTAGAGTAGACCAGTAAAGTATCATGTGACATGTATACCAGCAGCCAGCTTTATCATAGGTACATAGATTTTGAATTAAATTTTGAACTAGCTAGTTGTCAAATTAAAAATTGACTGATTTCTTAAAAACTCTTGTTTGCTATTATCAACTATCATGAACTATGAACTTCTAACTTCTAAGTTTGGCTAATTAGTAGTAACCAGCACAGTATCATGGATTCCAGCATTAGCATGCAGTAGCCAGTAATTGCATAATTTGCATGGTGGCTAGGTGGAATTCTAGGAAATGGTTGATCATTTAGATCCACATTCCACCATGATTGGCCAGAGCACTCCAAGTCCAGCACTACTCAGTTTAGAAATCAGAGGGCAGCAGTGGCAGTGCGCTTGTACTGAAGCACGCGGCTGTCATGCTCCTATTTTTAGCAAGCATGCTCCTAGCCTCCTAGTTTTGGCCACCGCGGTCCTCAATTACATAGGTACATGATCATTTATTAGGCATTTAGAATTGGTGGAAATCCAGGAAATGCAGTCACAATGCTCCACCCCAACTAGCGTAGCACTACAGGGGAGCAATGGAACATAAAGCAGTTGCTTTATGTAAATAAGCGTAGGAATCAGCACAAACCAACCATGAGGACCCATGAGGGAGGGTCGTCCTTCTGGCACCAGCATCCAGCGGTCCAATCATGACCTGTCGGCCCCGACTGCTTCATCTTGTACTATTATATCATTTTTTGTACTACTGTTTATAAACACGGTTGCCAGATGGTCATTTTTTCCAGACAAATTCCGTGTGATTTAGTTTTTCTCAATTGAGTTGACCGGCTAAAATTTATGATGGGTTACTTCCTAATTAAATTTTAAACACTGCAAAAAAAAAAATAAATAAATGAAATTTTTATGGCGGAACCTACAAATAAACTAGTAAATATTGAGTTATCAGCCTTTTTGTTCTTGGATTTGGCGAATTTTAGGCAACCTGAATTATGCACCACTACGTCCTGGAGGAATACATTTTTTTGTTGTTTGCATATGTACCACATTGGAGTTAACGTGTTAATAGAATCCTTAACTTACAAAACATTACATACTCTACTCTGTTAGTCAGTTTTGTCTTCATGGAAAGATTGACCCTTTACCCGAGATCAACAAACTTCATTAACAACATTAATTTAATAATAATTCATTGCATTTAATCGCAGTCCGCACGAGTGCACGACTCATGGGCACGACACAATAGATGTCTAGCCTTATAGACAATGTGAGCTTGAGCATTACTATTGGGTAGCCTATAATGAAATTATATATAAAAAAATATTTTAATGAAATTATATATAAAAATGAATTTTAAAATATTTTTTAATTTTAATGAAATTATATATAAAAATGAATTTAAAAAAATTTTTTAATTTTAATTTTTTATTTTTTTTGTCGCGCTAGCGTAATGAGTGTTTAACTTGGTAAGCAAAAGTTTGTTTTTAGATTTCTTTCGTCGCTAGATTAGCCCCTCTGGGATGAAGTGGCTTTAATAGTTGACTTTTCAATGAGTAAATCAAAAGATATATCAAAAAATTTATTTTTTTATATGTTTATTGATTGATTAATTTTGATTTGTTTTAACCTTTCTTTCATTATCCTTTATTCAGAGTAGGTTTGTTGCCATTTAGTCAATTAATTCAAAAACAGGTTTGTCTTGCATGCAGTGAAATGACATTAGACCTGGCAACATCTTGTAAATTTATTCTTTAGGAAATAATGATCAAATTTGAAGGGCAAAATTTTGATAGAATTTCCTGCATTTATCTGAAACAATATATAAGGGTAGAACAGAACATTCAATTTGATTGAATGGTGATCTCCCATGGTGGTCTCAATACCCCTCTGGTCTTGTGTTATAACATAACATAACATAGTGATCTCGGCGCTGAAGTGTAGGCCTGATGTGGCCTGTCGCCGATTCTTTCTCTTTTCGTGCCTTGTTCACAGAAGATCTAAAATCGTGTCATTTGATCGGATCTTTTTATGACTGACGATAGTTTGAAGTAGCTGCTAGACTTCCACCAAATTCGATAAGGTGCTAGGCATTTCAAATCTGAACATAGGTATATTTTTCCATAGCTTTATCTAGTCTGTTCTTGAACGCGTTCATACTTGGAGCGCCAACGATGTCATCGGGGAGGCTGTTCCACATGTCGGTGATTCGAAGCGAGAAGAAATTTTGTCGCGTGGAGAAGTTGCAGCGCAGTTTTTTTTAGCTTACCTATAGCCATGGCCCCTAGTGTTGGTTCTTGTTTCAAATTCTAGTAATCCTTCGGGGACCTTGTATAGACCATGAGTATACTTGTATACCTCAATGAGGTCCCCATGCAGACGTCGATATCTGAGGCTTGGAAGCTTCATAATCTTCAATCTTTCTTCATAGGACTTGCCCTTCAAGCCTGTAATTATCCTTATTGCACGTCTTTGAACATTCTCTATTAAATTTCCATCCTTTTCAAATCTCGGTGACCACACAACGTTTCCAAACTCTAGACTCGGGCGTACGACGGCAACAAACAACTGCTTCATCGTTTCTGTATCTAGGAACTCGTATGAGCGTCTGATTAGTCCAAGAAGTTTGTTGGATGTGTTTGCTTGCGTTTCAGCATGCTTAGAAAATTTCAGCTCCTTGTGGACATAAACTCCGAGATCTTTTTCCACACTAGACTTTTCAATCATTACTCTCTCGTTGCAACCATGTCTTCTCATACTGTGATCTTGCTGTTCATTGTTTTTCCCGAGGCAAGTACTTAACACTTGTCAGCATTAAACCGCAGCCGTCACGTATTAGCCCAGTTAACTAAACATTGAAATTCCTTATGAAACATTTCATAAACAAGATTGGGCTAATTTTTGAGCTCTTTGCAAGGGCTATCTTCTGGCATCTCCAAAAAATTCCATAATCTATTTGTAAGGTGCCAGACTCGAAATATGGTATGTCTCCTGAATTACTCATGGGAACGGAGTAATCCAGGACACTTGGGTTAAAACTTAATTTTAAAACATTTGCAGCATGCAAAGTGGACTCATCCATTGCTATCAGTACTCGGAAGTCCATCTCTTCCTCCTTTATAGAGGATTAGATGTAGATTAAATGATGTTTTCTGTGATTTTTACTTGCATTTCCTTTATTGATTTGATACTACCATATCCATACATTACCATATTATTGAAGTGACATTACCCTATCGATGAACATGCTATCAAGTATTTACAGCGACCTTGTCCACTGCAAACTTTATAGCAGCAGCCATAAAGCATTTTACTGTATCTGTAAGCTTATACGTAGGATGGCTTATTATTTCACTCCATTTTAATTGGGTCAAGTGAATCCACTTTAACAATAAAAGATTGTAAAAACATACCTGAAACAGAAAGAAATATTTTAGTGACAACCATCATATTTTTTGGAGAAATAAATCATAGTTTAGTCTCATTACTTTTATTCCATATTGCCTGGCGCACAATTTTCTCTATGACATTGTATGCACAATTTTGTGATGACCAATGATGCATTTATTTTTTGTTAAGTGACATTTTTTTGCTGCGTGAGGCAAATGTAATCAAAATTCTTTTGTGGTTAATTGATTTTTTCATTAACTGGAGCTTTTGCTAATATAGCTTCTACTGTAAATGCGTCTTTGGGGGTGTCCCTTATTACCCTGTCTTGCGGAAATGGCCGCCATTTTTTGGAGTGAGATACAATTTTGTCAATCACACTTATAAACCAACACCTGTGTGCAACTTTTATGTAAATAAATTTTTTTAATGCTGACAATATTTCTTTTGCTCTTTTGCTACAGAGCTTATCAGAGGTATTTTTCCAAAATCTCACTTATCACACTTTTTCATGTATTTTTTACAGGTAGTAAATTATGATTTCTTAACTTGCTTTTTGCTACGTAGAAAATAAAAATGTTTATCTTTACACCACTATTTTTAGTTTTGCAATATTTTGATTAATGTAGCTGCTACATTTCTACAAAATGTGACACGACTGTCCTGATTTGCCCTGCCTGTCCCTTATTACCCCATTTGATGGCATTTTTTTCTAGTCAAGGATACATTTTTTCATGTCAAGGAAGAATTTTTTATGGAAAGGATACATTTTCAAGTCAAGGATATATAGGTACTTTTATGTCAAGGAAACATTTTCTGTTGTTAGGTATAAAATTTTTAGCCAAGAATATATTTTTGTCAAGTTAGGGATATGATTTTTCATATTGTTAATAAATGAATGAATGTTATATTTTTGATTATATTTTTATTATTTTGAACTGTAAAGTGTTTATCATCTATAAAACAAAATCTAATTCTCACTATAGATTCCTCACTAGTTGTATCTTTAAACAAAATGAAGAACTACCTTGTACATATCAATTAAAACTTCATCAAAATTTAGTTTAAAAAAAGGGGGGGGGCCTGCTGCCCCATGTTACCCTATTCAACCTAATTGCATGGCAGTTACTGAAAATGAACCTTTGCTTATTGTTGAAGCTGTTTTTTCATGAAGTAGAAGATAAATGTTAGAATATAATTATTATTATATAAGAAGAAGTTAGTTTGCTCATCACAATTCTACCATGAATTAGCTATTGATTAATTTATTTTCCTCATTGAACAGGTGAATTTCCAGACCTCACCTCTCGAATTGCACCCTTAAGATTATATGCAGTGAATTTACCTCCAAGGGTAAGCTAACTCTTAAATGTTTAGCATCCTGTCAGTCTGTTTCAGCCAACTCCATTTTAACCAGTAATCAGTTTATCTCCTTCAATCATATTGTTATTTGCAAAACATTGTGCAATTGCCATTTACTCAGTCCTAATATGTAGCATTTATTAATCTTGCTGGTATTATTACTGTAATAAATCTCTTGCATTTATATTAGTTTGCCTCAGAGTGTCAGTTTTGAAATGATTCACCTAACAACTTGTAACACAATAGCGTTCTAAAAAGTCTATTGTAGCTGTAGTTAACTATCATTTATTCTAAAATTTCAAATTCGTTAGAAATGGTAAGATTTTGCAGAAAAATCTTCAAAATGTGATTTTCTCCTGTTCACATGTCACAAAAAGTTTTTGAGGCCTTATTACTTTTGTCTATAGATAATTGAGTTGGCACTTGATTAATATGTTTTCATGACCATAGTATTTAGTGCCAAAGTCTACATCTGACTACCTTTAACTACCTTTTTACCTACAATTAACAGTAACTGTAATACATTTCAATTGTTTTTAGAGCTTAACAAGAATGTTTTCACTAATGTTTTTTCTTTGCACCTTCATCTTTTGATTATCATTGGAATTTGAATATCAGGTTCCTAAAGATGAGGTAGCAAAGAAGTTTCATGTTGCACAAGACTGCATCACCCTGAAGAGGAAGGCTGACATGAAGTCTTCTTCAGCCATCATTGTTTCCCCCAGCTGGCCCAAAAGTGATTTGTGAGTTGAGAAAGCCTAATATAATATTATATATATATATATATATAATATAATAATAATATTGTGTATTTTTGATGTTGTGAGCAACTACAGCATTTTCCCACTTGCCACTCTGTCCTCATAGAAACATTGGTGTCATATTTATGTCTGCTGACAAAAGGTATGGCCTTGAAGTGTTAATTCTATACCGAATGCTAGAATAGACTTCAATTTTCCCAATTACCTTTTCTGATGCCATTACTAATTCATCTAGCTTGGGTTTGAATGTAATGCCTTTTTCAATTCTGCCAGAGTTCTAAGCATCAACGATAAGGTTTGTGAAATTCGTTACAATATAAGAAATTTTTCTGCATTAGTGTTGTGAAGACCTTAGATTTGGTTCATACTAGCAGTGGTTTTCTTGCAAGTGCAGAAGCAGCAAGAGGTTGGCTTGATGTCTTAATAGAAGGTGCATTTGTTCTGATGTGATGGCTGCAATATCCACTCCAATTTGCTCTTATTTTCAGTAAATTTCCAAATGCATGGAATTACTGTATTTATCACCTTTCGTTGTTACATGTTATCAATACATTGGAGTGCAACAACATATTTGCCTTGCCTTACTGACTTACTGCATTTGGCTGACCTTTTCTTGTTACTTGTTCTACTTGCACCCTCATTTCACTGATAGGCTTTTCTCAGCCACTTCTGATAATTGCAAACAGCAAAATTATAGAAGGTATAGAAGGTAGGTAAATTATGAGGTATATAAAAATGAATTTAAGCAAGAAATAGTTATATTCTGGAAGCTATAGAGATTCCTTGTATTGATTCCTAAGACACTGATTTCAAGGATAGATAATGTTTCAAGATGGCATTAAGAACATTACTGTAGCTTTTTCTTTGTTTTACTTGATAAAATATTCATTTAATTTAAAGTTTATTGCAAATACTTGTTTTTCAGAATTTTGAGTGATCATTGTGCAACGTACTCACAGCCGCTAAAGAAAATGGTTGTAAAACAATGTTATGACCCGGACCCCTCTCGACCCTCCTCAAAGCACTACAAGCCTCATAGGCTGTCGAGTGTAGAGTTTGACTTGAGGCCTGCATGCAGTGGACTGCCTACACTTCATGTCCTCAATGATTATGCCTTACTTCATATTATGAAATTTTTGAATGTACCTGAAAAACTGAAGCTTGAAGCAGGTAAGTTCTGTGAAAGAACCCCTTGCTCAGGCTGTTTCTCAGCAGCCATTGTTCCATTTATTGTTATCACATGACTTGCTTAGACTTGGTATTAAGGGAAGACTGTTTTAAATAATACATTATTATAGAATATGTAAATTTGGATATACAAAAACAAAGAGAAGCAGAAGCAAACAATTTTAAATGCTGCTGTCAGATGTATCTACTGCAAATTTTTATTGTTTTTTTCTTATTTTTTTATGTTGTTAGCATTTCTCTTTACAGTACTACAATCCATTGAACGCAAACAAGTTTTCACTTGCTTTCTGTCTGTCTCAAGTTTCCTCTAGACTTCCTGCAGCTAAACAGTGAGGAGCAAGTTATTATATAATGATTAGTATTGGCTATTTTAATAATAATAAGCTATAACAATCTCGCAGTGTGTCGACGCTTTCAGTCGCTGGTTTACCGCGAACTGAGCCAGAATAGCATCATAGACTTTACTGACACCTGCGCCTGGCAAAGTGCTTGCTCCAACCTCTCTAAAGACCGCAAGTGGGTTGGCTGTCCTTACATGGAACTGATATAATGTTAGGTCTTATTCAGATTTTATGTTTGTCTTATAATTTTGAGATAATAATATGATTTTATTCATTTTTAATTTTCGAACTGATGATGGAGCTGGACTCAGAAACGTTTTCAATATCGATATGGTGAATTTGCTTGGGATTTTCATTGCTTTTAAATTCCTTGTGAACTTGCGATGTAAGCAGACTGATAATATAAGTACTTACATGGAAGTGATTGTGCTGTTGTAAGACTGTCACTACATTAAATGATTGTGCTGCGGGAAGTGATTGTATTATGGCATGACTGCCACTACATGGAAGGAATTTTGTTCTTTCATGACACACCTCATATTGGACTTCTGACATGTGTCTTTACTGGTCAGAAGTCCTATTGGATTTCACATTTCTACAGGCATTGATCCTGGGTGACCCACCACAGAGCTTGCGATGTTTGACTGTGGCTCTCAGTTGCGGTGTTGTCATCACATATGCAGGATCACTAACATTTCTCTATCTCTAGAAATTTAGAAGCGAAGAAAACACCACAAAAATTCAGCATATCTCTATTGAAAACGTTTCGGAGACCAGCTCCATCGTCAGTTGTATGCGATTAAAGCAATCTAGTGACATTATTTCTCTCTCTCTCTCTCTCTCGTGCGGGAGGCCGACGTCCCGTGTGAGCGGCCTCTTGTACGAGTATCTTGGTTTCTCTTTCTGCTCACCTGTCCCATCGTATTTCTTTGTCTCTTTGATATTCTAACTCTGCTTCTTTCTTGCCAGCTTTTGTGGGCCGCTTGAGACCTCCCGGCCCTTGTAGGTTTATGAACGATTTGTGAAATTTGCGATAATACCTGCTTTACTGTATTTTTTAATTCTTATGTGAAACAGCTTAATAACGGAAGCACTTTTTAACCCTTTCACGGGCAAGCTACCATAAATGGTCACCTGAAATCACCCCACAAAGAGACCCACCACGGCTTCCTGTTCGTATTTGAGGCTTGCTTATCATGCCTCAGTCAATCACTAATTATCTGACCATCGATCCGTTCCATGCATAGCATCACCATCTATCATGCCCAAAAATTAAAATATGAGCATTAAAATTAAAGTTTTGACTCGGACAATGAAACTGACGTTTATTCCGAAATTTTGGTAAAAGGCGGAAGTAGTGATACATATTTAATTGTTTAAAGTAACTTGATTGAATTCAATTAAATTTTGATGTTATACATTTTTCCTAAATTTTTATTTGCTTAAACTAAATGTTAATCAAAAATAAAATATTTCTTGTCGTGACTGCGTTTAATAAATTCTTATAGTGCCATTTAAACCTCCTGTACCTCAATGCTTGCCCGTGAAAGGGTTGAATATTCTACTATTCATTTTTCATGAATTGCATTTATTTTTTGATATTCCTTAATATACTTTTTTTTCCTTTATCTTTTTTCATCTGTTATATATAATGCAAGGTTTGGACTAGAGTTTACTTGTAGTAGGATACCTACTATTTCATCCACTCTTTCTCCCGTATGTTTGCTTGACACTAAAGTTGCATTCTTTTGTAATAATAGTGTGTTGGTATAGCCATGTTTGCTCTGCATTCCAGCAAGTCACCAGCACAGCTGACACAAGATATTAAGCTCTGCACCTACAAGATGCTCATCATGAACACTGGCCACCTCACTACTCTCAGACTCAATGAGGATACGTGCATCTTTGATGTCAACGTATTTGCTGCTATAGGTACGCACTTAAATTTGTCCCTGCTTCTTCCAAATCAGACCCATAAGCTACAATATCTAGTTACAAATTTCGGTTATAAAACCATCACTAATGTTAATATTCTTTTTTATTGCAATTCATGTTGCTCAATTCGATTGTTTTATTGGAATAAAGACAGGTTAAATTTTCAAAAGTTGAGTTTGTGTACGACTTATGAGCCTGTCCAAATAACTGATAATGCAGATATTTCTCAATTTTGCTGATATTTTTCAATTTTAGGTCGACTTGCTGTGAACTTGGAGGATTTACAACTGGTGTTCTCGTCAAAGAGGAAACATTACACCTCTATGAAGACTATCTTCTCGCTCTGCTCAAAACTCAAAACTTTCAGTCTTACAGTGAGGCTCGAATGGCAGAGTTGTCAATGCTGGGTAGTAGCAATAGTGCATTGTCCGCACCTTTGTATCATGCATGGCGTTCTGCAGCTAGTGTCAGAACCTGTACCGTTTTCTGTACCTATATCGTCAACGCCTATATATCATTAGGTTTAAGTTATAACAGTTATGTATTTATCGACCTATGTTAATTTATCGACCTATATATACATAGATGTAATTTTGATCAACACTTCATCTCGTGGACATTTCCTGGTCATCAATCGAGGCAAAATCCTTGCCTGTCCTCTGTTCTCTGTATTTCATTTGCGTTCTCTCTTATACGACGTGCATATTCTATTCCTTTGCAATTTGCTCAGTATTTCTTTAGCTTGTGTTGATCTGCTTGAAATAATCTGCTTGTGTCGGTCTGCTTTGTGTTTTTTTAAATGTTTTTTTTTTTTCGAGTAGATCTGCTGACAGTTTGGGGGCTTCTGCATAAGGAGATTTATTTATGTGTCTCTTTTTATGGTATAAACTTCTACACAATTTATTTTAACAGGGCACATTCAGGTCTGACGAATTATTTCGAGACTTGAGGGAATGCAAACGCCTTGAGGTGTTGCGGCTGAGCAGGCTGAAGAATTTTGAATTCAGTTGTCTACTGATGATGCAAGCTCCTCTGAGAGAACTCTCGATCCACAACGTTGACTTCGTCGTCTCATGGCACTTAGGAGCAAACATAAACTTTCCAGACTTCCGTTTCAACTCTCGCCTCACGACATTCCGCTTGTTTCTCGACATCCAGACTGAATTTATGTACTATTCAACAAATTTCAGGTAACAGGTTCAGGAAAAACGGACTGAAAGAAAAACAGGGTAGAGAAACGTAACTAGCGGTTGACATGGATGAAAATTCAATTGTTGATGCTCCTCATGAACGACTCGGATGATGATCAAGCTTGCCGTTTAAACTGAATATATTACGTGTTGTGTTGAATATCTAGAGCAAGTTTGATCTGAATGGAAGTTCTATCTTTAGTTAGATGCATTCTTTATAATGCATAATGTCAGTTTCTCTGACAACAAATTATAATTTATCTCATAGAATGGAGTAGAAGTGTCGACACTGAAGAAATAGGCCCATGGCCTGTTGCCGATTCTTGTACTTTTCGTGACTTGATTTACTTGATTCACAGGAGATCTAAAAACCGGCCTTTTTTCCAGATCTTTTCTTAACTTACGTTGGTTTGATATAGCAACTGTACTTATCACCAGGTCCGTAGGTTTCTAGGCATTTCAAGTCTGAACATATATTTTTCCATAGCTTTATCTAGTCAGTTCTTGAACGCGTTTATACTCGGTGAGTCAACGATGATATCAGGGAGGCTGTTCCATATGTCGGTGACTCGAAGCGAGAAGAAATGTTGTCGCGTGGATGTGTTACAACGCTGTTTTTTAGTTTATAGCCGTGGCCCCTGGTGTTGGTTCTTGTTTCAAATTCGAGGACTCCTTTTGGGACTTTGTATGGGTTTTATTGTCATGAAGGGTTTGATTTGTAAAATGAGGCAAATTGATTTTAATTTTCATATTATTGCAACAATGAATGGCAGAAATACATGTATGAGCGAGCATCATTTCCAAATTGTCTTGAAAATTCTCCTAGTATATATTAGTTCATGTTTTCTAAATTGTCCCTTGCTGTGAAGTTGAGTAAAGTTTAATCAAACACTTAATTAATTTAATCAGAGTTGCACATTTTATAAAAATGAGACTTCCATGCGAAGTTGAGTAATATTACTTGTTTCATTTCTTGAATTAAGTCAATTAATTTTACATGTGGTGTTTGCTGTGCTTGGCGTGCAGGGAATGGTCACTGAGGGAAATTCTTTTCTCCATGGCACGCAAGTGTCCTGCGCTGACCCAACTCCAGATTCGTTGCTACTGGAATTCTGAGTCTCCCAATTTCAAGACATTCAAAAACTTGAAGGTAGGAAATTGTTGCAAGATTTCGAGACTTTATTGGCAGAGAATCTTGACAAGAATACTGTCTGATACGTGTGTACAAAGATTTGTCTGATTAGTTGAAATCCCGAATACTGATCAACTATTCCTTTTATGTAATTGTTAGTTTATTCTTTTTATGGTTCATTTGAGTGGCAAAACAGCTTTTTTTTCCGCAGGTGCTACATTTTATCGTACGTTGCTCCGAAAATATTGAGGATCTTCTCAAGAGCGCTTTGCCAGACCTTGAGGACTTACACATCGAGATTTCAGAAGTTTCGAGTTTCGTGAGTTGCGAGTCCAAGTGGGACTGAAATTGCTAATGAACTATGTTAAGGACCTTAAGTTGAAAACCTTATTGATATTTTCTTTTGACTATATTCACTATCGTTGAAGATTTCAGAGTTCTCGACTTCATTATTTGCCTCCCAGATTTCTTATCCATATGAACGTGTTCTAACTTAGATATTCCTTTTATGTCTTTATGTGATATATGAAGAATTTTTCTTGTTCAAACCATTTACTTTCAAGGTTTAGTGGCAGGAGCTGCTAACTGCTCAATATCACAATTAAAATTCTCAAAGTTTGCACACCGTTTCCCTGGGACGGAAAACTTCATGGTTGAACCGGACATTATTTTGGGGAACCTTAATCTCAATTATTTAGCATATCCTCGATCGAGGACGTGTGAATAAGTCTTGAGAACATCTTTGTAGGCAAGTTAGTTTCCTTATAATTTCGTAATGATGAAGTGTTCATGGGAGCATCAACTATCTTTGGATAGCATGAACTATAAATTTTTATTACAGTAATCCTTCACTTATCGCCGGTGTTACGTTCCAGCTCCGGCCGCGATAGTAAAATCCACTATGGGGAATTGAAGTATTTATATTGCAATTGTTTGTAAGTTTCCATTGTTTCAAGTCTTACTGAACCCCACATCATAACTGCCGATTAATTTCCGTGGGCTGTTAAAAATTGCCGATTGGCTTCTTTAGAAACCCGCAAACCAGCGATGATCCGTAATTGAATTTTTGCCTCAACTTTTTTACTTTTTTTTGCCTCGACATTTTTTGCTTTCTTGAAAGCCCGCAATGAAGTGAAACCGTGTTAGGTGCAGCGCGACGTAACAAGGGACTACAGCATCTTGTTCTGGGGTTATGCTCTTGACCACGCTGTCAGAATTGATTAGGGTGCAATGGTTTTCGTGCACGCAATTGTAAATTTATCATAAAACGGCCTGCAATGGTAATTTTTCTTCACTAGAGGCAAGATAGAAGTTTTTTGTCCGGACGTCGTTATTGGACTTGCAGTGCATCTGCCATTCAGGATGCCATTCTTCCTTCAGGAGATTTGTGCTCTAAACGGCCCTGTTCAGTCGTCCACTGGTGTAAAAATCTTGAACCTGATGAATTCTGAAAAATCCTATTAGCCCCAAAAGGCTTAACTTGCGTTATTAGGCCTTTTAGTGTTAACAAAATTGACGAATGATAATGTAGTTGTTGGCAAAGTGTTTAAAGACTGGTTAACTCTCGTCATCAGTCCTGTAGGTACAAATAACATTGATGACGGTCAATGAATCCGCTGACAAATGGTTGTGCCTCTAAAATTATTCAGGCCTGTTTCATTAGATTGAAAAAATTCCATTATTTACTTACTCATCGGCACCCTATAAAAGTATATCATAAAGTAAATTCATTTCTCGTAAACAACGTTGTTTCGTTTGGGACACTACAATAGTTTGATTTCGTATAAGGAAGACGGTGTTTAATGAAGTTTCCGTATTACACGTTATGAAACAGTTTGATGAGGGGTTGATGTCGTTTAACTTAATTGAAATATTTTAGATGCCCATCCAAACATTTCGTTCATGATATAAAGTCTTGAATACTTAGTTTGGCTGCTGGTTAATTGCTTTCCATTTTTATCTTCTGAAAATATTTATTTTTCTCCTCAGGGGTACGTTGCAGATGAAGTCCTCAGTGTTGACTTTTCGCTTGCGCCGCCGTCAGTGAAGTCCCTGACGCTCAGTGTAGTCCATGCACGTCATGAGCTAGACGATGGCTCGTACAAGAGCATCCTACAAATGCCCAACCTGCAGCGAGTCTTTGTCAAAAGCAGGAAATTCTCTCTGGCTCAGCTGAAACAGTGAGTCGATCTCTGGTCGTTGCATATTTGTGTGAACTCGAATGCAGGAGTGGTTAGTTACTTAGCGGGAACGTTTTTCGTTGTTAAGCCTTCAAATGAGATGGGTGATCAATGGACATACCTGTAACACGCACACACAGAATTATAAAACGATTGTCTTCAAAGTAAAACTCTTGAATAATAAATTGAAATAGATTGGGCAATGAAAGGATTTTATCGTGTGTATTTATATCATAAAACAATATGTAAACACAAGCTACCGTTTCCAGCACACTCCATTGCTGTTTCTCGAAATGTAAATTCTAGCTTTGCAGATTCGTGAGATTTTTATGCATTTCCTCGCAACTATTTTCAAATGGTATTCTCGCTTTTTTTTAAATTAATCACGCAAATTATGCCAAGATTTAATTTCATCTTCCAGTCGCGGTTCGTTCTACTTTCACGCATGCTCGCATGCTACTCGAGTACTTTTATCGTGTCCAGATAAAGTTGTCACCGACTAAATTGTTACCCACACACTTTTAATTTGCCCGCTTGTGACAAGCTTTACTCGCCGGTACCCACCGTGCCGCTGCCCCAGACAACCCCCTAATGTGTGGTGCCCTGCAGGTTCGTGGCCCACATTCAGCTGGTCGAGATCAGCGCCCCTTCGGTGACCGTGGATCTCGCCACGGCCCAGGAGCTCGCTGCCCTGCGCAGAAAGGCACTGGCCAGGAGCAGGCCCAGGTGCCCCTCACTGTGCCCCGACCACGACGAGCCCCTCCTGCTGCATGTCAACTTCACCCACCACGCGACCTTCGCAGATCCTCTCATAATTATCAAGCGTTTGTGCTCACATGCATAAATATTGAGTGTCCTGCGTTTATCTTGACGCTCTGGAATCGTAATTTTCTTCGTCCCAAGGAAACGGTTAGTTTCTCTCCCGTGCCTCCGCGCTGAGGCTTTCTGACTTTCTGAGGAGAACTCAGACTTGTCAATTAAGGAAATAAAATACTTATTCACTTAAAATCTTTATTGATGGTTACACTATAAAGACTTTATAACGGATAATCTCGAGAATACAAGCACGACGATGTTTATAATAATAGATTGTGTATATTGCTGTAAATTTATACTGAATGAGTGTGTTCAGTATTTTAATGGTGCTAATAATATAAGAGTTCTTAGTGTCTTTCAAGGTTGCCCTTAAATAAAAGATGAAGCTTTGTTTTTTATTCACTGGAAAGTTTTGAACGAATTTACAGGAAAGCCCAGGAAATATTTCTGTTCAATTTTGAGAATAGAAGCTATTTATTCTACATTGTCTTGACAGAGCACCGTCCTGAGATGAACATCAGAACGGTGAGATAATAATGAAAGTTTGAGCAAAAAACCTAAATTAGAGCCAAAGGTGACGGTAGAAGAGGTTCGAGCAATACTACTCTAAAGTTTCAATTTCAAGAAAAATATATGTTGTGTCTCGAGCTGCTCAACCTCCATTATTGTCGCATATAATCCGGTAATTTGGTCGCGTAGTCGTTGCACTCATCGCTGCATTCAGAAATAGGGGTTGAATGACGTTAAAACAAAACTTTTTGTGCGACCAAGAGTTGTGATCAGAGCTGGCAGCGCTACTTTGAAATGTAGCTACCGCTACATGCGCTAAATGTAGCGGGCGCTACCGCTACATGCTCTAAATGTAACGGGCGCTACCGCTACCATTGCTTAAATGTAGCGCCGCTTCCGCTACCATTGCTTAAATGTAGCGGGCGCTACCGCAACAACTGCTTAAATGTAGCGCCGCTATCGCTACCGCTACATGTAGCGCGCTACTACCCACCTCTGGTTGTGATCAACGACAAAGTTGAGCATTTGATATTTACGCAATGATGGGCCGCGTTCCCCTCATCCTCAGAAGTGGTTAGTAGGTTTGAGAGGAATTAACATAACATAGTGATGTCGGCGCTGCAGTGTAGGCCTGCATGTTGCCTGTCGCCGATTCTTTTCCTTTTCGTGCCTTGTTCATAGATCTAAACTCGTGTCATATGACCGGATATTTTCATGACTGGCGATAGTTTCAAGTAGCTACTAGACTTCCACCGGGTTCGATATGGTGCTAGGCATTCCAAATCTGAACATATATTTTTCCATAGCTTTATCTAGTCTGTTCTTGAACGCGTTTATACTTGGAGCGCCAACGAACTCAAATGTTTGCATAGAAACAAACTCGTACGACGACTTGAAGGTGGCTCAATGGAAGAACACAACCTTGGCTGTCATACCGTGGGGCCGTCGGTTGAAAGTTCAAACAAGAAGGTTGAATAGATGAACCTAAATTGTTGATACATGTACATATCTATTGGACTACATGACAAGAGGAGCTCGTTAACTGGGAGAAAGAAGAGGCAAAAAAATATCTTTAGATTAATACATTGTTGTTGAAATAACGTAAAATTAACAAAACTATTATTGTCTCTCCGAAGAAAGAGAGGGGAAAAAAGTTGCAATAAATATTGCTAGGTGACTAACGCAAAGACAAAAACCAGGTAAAACAACACCTGTCCACGTAATTACAGTTAAAGCTGTGACTAGATACTTAAGGATAGGTGCATAAACTAGTCTTTTTGAGTCAGCTCCTTTTGAGTCTGGAGGATCTAAGGCTAATCTTTCAGCAGGTTTAATTGTTAATAATTCTCTCTGAGCATCTTTCAGAGCTAACCTTTTTTGCTTAGTTTCTACTCAGGAGGATTAGTCTGACTTGCGGTGCCTGTGAAGTCATTTCTAACAGCCTGTTACCAACTAAGTCCAATTAGTTAAAAAATGACTTGGTATAGCTGATACGCCCCAAAAGGGCGTATCAGTGCTACGTCTGCTCTCTGCTCGTGCCGTGTGCGAATGTGTCACTGGGTTTCCGAAATACCCTTTTGAATAATAATGAATCTAATTATAATATTAAATAATATTAATTTAATTTCCCTCTCTATTTCCCTTCTCCCCTCAGGGGTTCCCAAAATACCCATTTAATTAATAATAATGAAAAAAATATTAAATATATTTCATTATTAAATAATAATAATTAATAATGAAAAAAAATAATATTACCTATATTTCACTATTAAATAATGATAATCAATAATAAATCTAACGATAATACAAATAATTTAATTATCCCTCCCGCCAGGGGTTCCCAAAATACCTGTTTAATTAATAATAATTAAATAAATAATATTAAATAGATTTCATTATTAATAATAATTAATAATAAATCCAACGATAATACAAATAATTGAATTCCCCCCCCCCCCCCAGAAGTGCTGGGGTCTGCGACCCCAGCACTTCTGGGGCCGGTCTACCGGCCCTCTGAGGGCCGCTTCACCGTCGAGGACGTAGACCCCAGCCTCTGCACCCACGTCATCTACGCCTTCGCCGGTCTAAACGAGACCACCAACACCATAGTCTCGCTAGACCCTGCTTATGACATCGTCAACGGTGGGTCATGGGGCTAGACCCTGCCTATGAGGGGGCTAGACCCTGCCTATGAGGCTAGACCCTGCCTATGACATCGTCAACGGTGGGTCATGGGGCTAGACCTGTCTCTTATACACATCTAGATGTGTATAAGAGACAGGGGCTAGACCCTGCCTATGACATCGTCAACGGTGGGTCATGGGGCTAGACCCTGCCTATGACATCGTCAACGGTGGGTCATGGGGCTATGACAGCGTCAACGGTGGGTGAGGGGGCTAGACCCTGCCTATGACATCGTCAACGGTGGGTCGTGAGGCTAGACCCTGCCTATGACATCGTCAACGGTGGGTCATGGGGCTAGACCCTGCCTATGAGGGGGCTAGACCCTGCCTATGAGGAGGCTAGACCCTGCCTATGAGGGGGCCAGACCCTGCCTATGAGGGGGCTAGACCCTGCCTATGAGGCTAGACCCTGCCTATGACATCGTCAACGGTGGGTAATGAGGCTAGACCCTGCCTATGAGGGTAATGAGAGGGCTAGACCCTGCCTATGAGGGTAATGAGAGGGCTAGACCCTGCCTGTGAGGGTAATGAGGGGGCTAGACCCTGCCTATGAGGGTAATGAGGGGGCTAGACCCTGCCTATGAGGGGGGTGATGAGGGGGCTAGACCCTGCCTATGAGGGTAATGAGGGGGCTAGACCCTGCCTATGAGGGTAATGAGGGGGCTAGACCCTGCCTATGAGGGTAATGAGGGGGCTAGACCAGACGCGGGGTCACAACTAGTCGGTGTACGTGAACCCCGTGAGCGTCGACGCGTCGGTGAAGTTCTTCCAGAGTCGCTGCGTGGCGGGCGGCTACCGCTGGAACCCTTACCTCATCCACCTTGCCCAGCCCAACGCGGTCAGCCTCTACATATTTTGGACTTATTTTTAATTTATTTATTTTAATAACTATCATAAAAACTAACAAACCATTACCTCATTCACATCGCCCAGCTAAAAGGGGTCAACCTCTCCTTATTATGCTCTTTTTATTATTATTTTCTTTTTAAACTATCATTATTTTGCATGGTTTAATAGAAAAATTATTATTCCATCATCTAGGTTTGATATCGCATTCAACTTGCTGGGAGTACAGAAGTAAAAATATTCTAACGTCATGTTTTTGTGATATTTTGAACCCTCTCTGCCACTAGAGTTATGCTTAGTAATACTTAATATACTTTTAT